CACTGTTTATCGTGTTTTGAACAATATTGCAAATGGATATGGCACTGAGCACCAGGGAGGCACAGGTAGGCCCAGAGAATTGACTGTCGGTGACAGGAGGCGGCTTGGTATTCTTGTTTCTAAAAACAAACGAAGGAGCTTAGAAAACTTAAGGCTGGATATGATTGATAGAGGAAGTGTGGCTGTCTGTAAGGAGACAATTAGAACTGAACTGCATGCAGTGGGTTGGCAGAAAAGTCGAGGAATTCCATCACCGATCATGAAACCTGAACAAAAGGAGCGAAGGTTGAACTGGTGCTTACAGTATAGAAATTTTAACTTGGACAATGTGATTTTCTCAGATGAAAGTTCTGTGTGGCTGTTTCCTAATACACTGAAATTCTGGACCAAACAAACTGAAAAACTTTTGTATCAGCGTCCAAAGTACAGTCCAAACTTTAACGTGTGGGGTGGCAAATCTGTGTTAGGGGCAACGCCCCTCTGTGTATTTGAAGGGAATATGAACAGTGAGCGGTACAAAGATATTCTCGAGGGACATTTACTTCCATCTGCTCACGTGTTCTATGGAATATTTTTGATTTTCCAGCAGGACAACGACCCAAAACATCGTTCAAAGCATTCACAGGCCTGGTTTCGGACCCAAAATATGACATCATTAGATTGGCCAAGCTATAGCCCTGACCTAAATCCAATAGCTGAAATGAAAGAAGAGGTGGTCCGATATTGGGACAGCATGGACCACGACTTTCTAACTTCTTTGATCAGTAGTATTCCCCGCCGCATTGATGCCTGCATTGCTGCCCATGGTGACTTGACAAAATACTAACTGTTCACTTGTCTTTGAATCTGGAGTTATGTTCTGCTAATATTCACATTTAATACATGAGTAATGAGTGAAAAAAAAAAAAATAATTACAATCTTTAAATTCTCAATAATTTCTGGTTGTACTGTACCAAACTGGTCCTGTCAATGGGTATATGTATCTGTGAGCCACTCTATGTCAAGTATTCTTTGTTGTGGACAAGTTGTATCATGGAATCTCCACAAGACCAATAACAAGTTGGCCCAATGAGACATTTCAGACAGTACTATTACCAACAAGGTTTCAGAGAAGCCTTACATGTACATGTTTACAACAGACATGGAGCACCTGGCTCCATATATACACACTACAACTTTTACAATTCACTGTATGCATTGAACTGAACCAGAAACTTTCATGATTTCAATTCATTATCTGTAACCACTAGAAACCAATAATCATGAACCTATTCAAAAGGAGGGCTTTACTGAAATTTGGGTGTATCAAATCGAAAAATGTAAAATAGAACAATTCCAAACCAGGCAGGCAAACAGTCAACAGTCTTATAAGTTTAAGTTGACAGTAAAGTGGACACTGGTCAGTGTCATGATAAACTGACACTGTCATGATAGTCAAAACATGTCAAAACATTTACTTCGTTATTGTTTGACTAAATATAATGAATAAATCATCACCTGCTGCCTTGTTATAGTATTCATTACCAATTATTCGTGATATGTATCTGTTTCGACTCATAGTGGAATCTTTGAAGCCCTACTAATTGCCATGACACTGTTGAGATAATTGAGTCTTTAGTAGTTTTCAAGCAGTAACGATACATTTTTAGCAATATTTGTGACATATACAGGTTTTTTAGCAATAATATCTAAAATTATACCTGTAATGTTCAATTTACAAAAAAATCTACTTTAAAATACATCTCCCAAGAGAAAGAGTCCGCACATAAACACATTTGTCACATATACAGGTTTTTTAGCAATAATATCCAAAATTTATACCTGTAATGTTCAATTTACAACAAAATCTACTTTAAAATACATCTCCCAAGAGAAAGAGTCCGCACATAAACACAATTTGTCATCTTATCCAACTACTACGGTCTCTATCAATGACAAAGACATTTAATCCGATAAATGACCTCGAAATCCTAGAAGCTACAGACTAAATCATTATGTAGGTTCTCTACAGTGTCTGATGTGATGTTATGATATCCGAGATGATCAATCAATCTATCACAAGGCCAATATCAACTTTTGCATGCTGAAAATACCATGAAGTAAACACTTGAAATTGTTTTGAATTTTTTCATGGTTTAAAAGACACGGTGACTGTTTTTAGCAGCTCATTATTTCTCCTATTTCTTTCTATTTTCTGTCTATACGTTTGTATCTGGGCAGGATCAATAGGCTTTCTTCAAGAGTGTCTTGAAATAGAGTTTGCTCTGACATTTGGAGGACACTTCCAAATTAGGGCATTTCCAAAATTGACGCATCAAATGACAGAAACATATCTGATGCAGTGCCCCATATTGACCTTTATCATATGAACAATTGACTTGCCTTTCCATGTGTTTGTGCCATCGGTGAGCAAGATACGCTTATCTTTTCGCAAACATCTAATATTATCACTCTTTGATGCTCATTCATCAGGATATGCATATGATATACTTCAAAAGACACAATCATCAATCTGCCTTTAGTAGACATGAATGAGCATGGTCTTTGAAACTAAATTTATACAATTTCTCACACCATGTATAACAGATGTGTCTGTATCTAACTGTGGGCCATCCACATGCAAGGTGTACTTCTGGATGTAAAGAAAACAAAGCCAGATAATGAGTCATCTGATCCCAGATTCCACTGGGCATCAGACCTGTGAAGTTCCGGGTTAGATCAATCAACAGCAAGAAGTGCTTGTTCTAAAGAGGTGGCTAACAGGATCGGGTGGTAAGGCTCCCTGGCTTGGTTGACACATCAGGGCTCGAACAAATTAAAAATCTGCATTCGCCCTGCAAGGCAAGTAATATGAAATTTCCACTCGTCCTTCTAAAATTGTACTTGCCCTATGCAACATAATGAAAGTAAATTTAAATTATTTTATTTCAAAATGTTTGCTTAGAATAAAACTACAATAAACATTACTTACTTTGTCTGCTAATTTGCTCACCATTTAAGATAGCTGAACTTCAAATAAAAATAAAAATGTTACTTCCCTTGGCTTTGTAAGGTGATACGCCGTTCAGATTTGAAATATTTGAGAAAACTAGCGGATTACAAATCAACGTAGTGGATATTGTAACCCAACAAGGCATGAAATAGTGAACTATATTACCTTGTTGAAAATATCAATGACACCTGGCAAGTCCGCGTAATAAATGACAGGATTTTTAAAACATTAGATTAAATTAAAATTTCCACCTCATCTGTTTAACTCTTTCAACATCAGTCCACTAGAGGCATTTAGTGCCATGACACCGAGTTCCCAGAGACCCTGAGATCTTAGATGAAGCCTGTGTTTACCAAGGAAAATATCAGCTTATAAAACATTACTGCTACTACATATTATACACCATTTGAAAGGTCTAATACTTCTGTTTATAAATATGAAATATATTTTTTATCATATTATTCAAATAATACAACTACAACGTAAATAAGTTAATATTTAATGAAAATGCAAGCTTACTTTCCAGATAAACCACGAAGGGAACAAAATATGCGGCAATTTTTTCCATTTGTAACATGTCATACTATCCCCTTACCTTTTCTGTTATATTTTCATTTTTACGTAATTGGAAAATTATTATCAAAAGATTTCTCAAATAATATGTATGGTCGTCTATTTCCCGATATCAGTAGCTTTCCGCTTGGTAACGTGATACAACAGCGTGAAATACCTCCATTTTGGAAGCTTCGTACGGATAACATGTGAGGCAATTCGTTTGATGGCGGGTATCGTTCGAAAGCTCTGAACATCAACACTACCACTGCACCCTTGCCAAGAGTATTTTCGCAGTTGTAAGAAGTGATTTTATTGGATAAAGATTGGTTTCTAATGACGCTTTTCTGCCACAGTCTGCTATGAGGATCGTGATTGGACAAAATTATGCATGTGACCTAAGGCAGCCAATCATATTGCAGAAATGGATAGTATCCTCGTAAACGAAAACTTTTAGATTCAGACGAAAGTTTTGGGTAAAAGCATGCTATTGTGAACGTGTTACACAAAAATTCACCACCTATACATATATTATGGAACTTAGTGGACGTATCGTGCTAGGCTATAACCACTGACAAAAATGCTTCGTGCATATATTTTAGCATTAAACATCGTGTCCGAGCGTGAAGTTCGAGGCGACGAAAGCCGAGATGTCACTTGATATAATTAAATTACACGATCGCACAAAAAAGAAGGAAATAGTAAGTTATAATGTACATTTGACAAATTTTATCAGTACTGTTATTGATTTTATTCTTCGGTTTATCAAATGTGTTTAATTATTATCTTGAAACATCGTTACTTGATTACGATCGGTAATAACAAGTACGGAATTCCCAATTTTCAAGCTGATCCGACAACATTCATGTTGTGACGATTTTTCTCATTGGTCAGTTTATTAATTATAGCCAATCAGGATATTCGAAGCACTTAGGTTACAAAACCGCTGCGTGATATCTGTTGAAAAAGGATACCAAACGAACATCAAGACTTAAACTTTGCAGTTAGTTTTCGGGGAATTTGAAAATACTGTTAATCGGGAATGACGATGTTAAAACTTAAACTTATTGATTTGAAAAATAGTTGGGTCACAAAACATACTCGTTCTGTAGGACGAGCAAATTATGTTTTTCACTTGCCCAAAACAAATTTTACTTGTCAATACGAGCGGACGTGTGGAATTTTCGAGCCCTGCACATGTCATCGTATCCCAGTTAAGTAGATCGATGCCCATGCTGTTGATCACTGGATTGTCTGGTCCAGATGCGATTATGTACAGACCGTCATCATATAGCTGAAATATTGCTGAGTGTGGTGTTAAACAACAAATAAACAAACAAACATTGGGCATCAAAGGGAAACTTGTAATGAAAATTATATAAATGGATAACTGAAAATCAGTGACGACACCAGGTGTTCACATGGTTAGCCTGGCCTGCCCTACTGGTGTTACAGACCAAAACATCTCCCAGACCAGTTCTTCATCAAGGAAGTTTCGGATCAGGCTATTCTGCACCCAGCAGCCCATGTCACTCACGCAAGCAGCAAGGTCACTGACTACAAGGTCACAGCCTGCAAGGTCACAGCCTGCAAGGTCAAAGACTGCAAGTTCAAAGACTGCAAGGACCCACAGGTAAACAATAATTTATTAAAACACCAAGATCTTATTTTACATAATTAAAGTGAAATCATTCATTTTGTCCATTTTGTTAATATCTGGTGTCCCCTGCCAAGATATTGCTGGAATATTGCTGAAAGCGGCATAAAACCATACTCACTCACTCACTTTTTGTCGCTATGTTCTTATAAAAATAGGTAGATATTCACATCACTGAAAGAAGATGTTTATTATGTCCATCAAATTACACAAAGTTCATAGCCTTGAGCACAAAACAGAACCAATTGCAGGAAGCAGGAATTCTGAAAACATGGCCTCTTTTCACACTGGGTAGAACGGAGAAGATGCTTTCTACAGACAACCAGGAAATGGAACCATAAGATTGGCATCGGTTGTCGTTGAGATGATATTCACTTCATCCTGGACGAGGAAGCTGGTTATCTTTGGACAACTCAGAAACGCAGATGAATATGAACTAACAGCAGGAAAACTGATACTGCTGTTATCACTTGATGAGTGTCATTATCAGATGCTATTACAAGCATTACTTGGGCTCTGATTCGGCATGGCTTGGAGATGTGCCAGGACATAAACATTCCCACTCGAACAGTTAAAAACCATGGTGGAAGAGGGTTCATCAACATTATGGGTGGTTGAGATATTTCTCCAACACAGTTTTCAACTTGTTAAAGTTTAGGTCAATAAAATATGCAAAGTTCTCACATTTTGAAAGCTGAGGATTAGTGAGTAACATACATAGCTTAAACATGATGAATTATATTGGGCATCATCACAAACTGAAGTACAACAATCTATTAAATTATGGTTTTCTCCACATTTATATAAGTTTTATTAAATTGTTTAGTAGTTTTATATAGTTATATATTGTAATGGTGTTCTATTGGTGTTCTATTGCTGAGTGAGTTCACCCACAGATAAATGATTTGTGACACATTCCACATCACAGCATAAAATCATATTTTTGAAATGTTGTCCTGTGTTTCATGATAAAACAAGAAAACACTGTGTCCAGGAACCCGGATGCCTCCGCTGCTATAGGAAGAGTCCCCTACACTGAGTGTGCTCTGGTGATTAATTTCTACAATTCTGTTAAGCAGTTTTTGTGGATAGACTTAATCCCCTATTTCACTATCATCAGAGAGAAATTCAGCAAAATGTACCTAAGTTCAAATGTCTCTAAACTTACAAAAAAAAAAATAAAATACAAAAACAAAATATGAGATGCACACCATTAGAGTCCCAAGAAAGCCCATGTATAAGTTCATTGAATTCCACACAGCGTATTTTATGGAGAAGTGGATAGAGTACATTACTGTTTCGTACGGACGGACATGCAGGGTAACCCTATATGCCCCCAGCCATATATGGCCGGGGCATAAAAATGGGTGTGAATGTGCAGGTATGTTCTTGATACAATCTCTGGTTTTTGTATTTGGTAATGACAATAGAAGGGTTCTAGAATACATATCTTTGATATATTAACACACAATATCTTTTTTACAGAGAGAGTTAATCAAAAGATTCTTAGAATTGCTACAAAATTATTTAGAAATTTACACATGTTTATAAATAGCATACCAGATATTTGCAGAAATTGATTGTGATCTGTAGAAAATTTCACAAAATAGTTGCAAAACTTCTTTAAATAAACTTTAAATATTTTGAGTAATTTGAAAAAATCATTCATGAACCAGTTATTTACAAAGTAAACATCAGTGAAACAAATCAGTAAACAAATGACATATTCAAGATAGGTATGTTTTTTAAACAGTGAAAACTTGACACACAGTGAATAAATTGCTGTACAAAATATCCCATCAACCAACACACTATCACCACATATGCTGATAGCATCTTAATGTTCTTTATCATTTACACAAAAACACTTGATGTGTTAAAACATTGCCCTCAGTAAAGTAACTGTCACCCAAAATGTAAAGTTTTAACGTATGGCTATTCATGCAGAGGGATAGCCTGTGAAGATATACATTGATTCATCCACTAAGAGTCACTTAATAAAATCTGTAGGAGACAGCTCGATGGGGAAGTGTAGGCACAATACCATCAACACTCCGTAGGAAACACAGGGGATATAACCGACTTATACATAATCTGAAACCACTGTGCATAGAACGATCATAGAAAATGATTGGTAAAACTAATCTACTTGCTTCCTTGATGCTTGACATCAAAGTAAATGAGTACAGAAAGTGCTCGAGGCCCCAATGGCAAGAGGTAAAAACTAAATGTGAGAGGTTATAGATATAATGTGAGCAAAGGAAGTAAAGCAAAGAGTTATGGAAGAAAGGGCAACAAAGAAACTCATTCAAAAATGAGTGAGTGAGTATAGATTTATGCCTCTTTTGCAACATTTCAATAATAATATGTTTGCCAGGAATAGACTCCATTCATTTTACCAAACAAGGGAAAAATACCTGGGATTTTGTTGTCATAAATAAACTCGTAAACAACAAGACAACCCCACTGCCCCCTATAAGAAGGATGATTTTGTTTGTTTGTTTGTTTGTTTGTTTGTTGTTTAATGCTGCCATACTCAGCAATATTCCAGCAATACAGTGGTCTGTAAATAACGTCTGGACCAGACAATCCAATGATCAACATCATGAGCATTGATCTACACAATTGGGATACAATGACATGCGTCAACCAAGTCAGCGAGTCTGATCACCCAATCCCAATAATCACCTCTTACAACAATCATGGGTTTCTAAAGACCAATTCTAACCACAATCTTTATGAGCTGAGAAAGGATGGAAAGATGAGGATATTTAAGAGTGTAGAATTTGAAGGATGTTATGGGAGAGAGAACACACTGTGGTTGTAGGGTTTCTCATCTTTAAACAAATGTTCCATCATGACCAAAAGTTGTTAGTTTTTATCGTTAATATAATCGCATGAGAAGCAGAAACTATTAAGAATCTTGCAAGGTTTTGTTTTACACCACATATGATTATTATGACCTGGAATAGCTTATTGTGTTTGTTGTTTAATAATGCACTCAGAAATATTCTAATGTATGGCTGTGATCTTTAAATAATTGAGTCTGGACCAGACAATCAAGTGACTGATATTATGAGCATTAATAAATGTAATTGGGATATAAGCCGACCATCCCATCCAACTAATGGCCTCTTGTGACACACACAGGTTGCTGAACATCAGATGTAACCTGTGTCGTTACACTGACTGACTGACTGCGTTTGGTTTTACGCCACTTTTAGCAATATTCCAGCAACATCACGGCGGGGGACACCAGAAATGGGCTTCACACATTGTACCCATGTGGGGATTCGAACCCAGGTCTTCAGCATGACGAGCCAACGCCTTAACCATTAGGCTACCCCACCGACCCTGTGTCGTTACAGGTAACACTCATTGTACTACAAAAAATATGAAAACCACCATACTTTAAGCAACCCATTGTGTCTAAAACTATTAATTCATTTTATTTTCTTCTGTTTTCTACACAATAGGTGTTTTCTAAACCTTCTTTCAATATTGTAGTAGCAGCTACTTTGTATTCTGTGACCAGTGTGCGTGTAATTATGCCTTCCTTCAGTGATTGAAATAAAAAGTGTCATAAAAATGTCAGCTTCTGCAGTGATGTGGCTTTCAAATCAGCTATTACAATTACAGAGTGATTGGATAACCTCTGACTGACAAGTCAGAATCGGGTCCATTCCAATTTCATGGTAGAGTCGCAGTTTTACACACCCAATCAGCTTCAGATATTTCCACAAGAAAACTTCCTATTGCAGAAATTCTGTCAATTTGGATGCAGGTTTTAACATTTATTATTTGCTGAAACCCCACAAGCATTGGGAATGTGCTGACAAAGAAAGAAACTTATTATAAACCTGGGCTCAAACCCACGATCACAGGATACTGGCATGCCTAGGGTAAGCAACTCTGTTCAGCAAACTGCAGCACCTAAGATAACAGGCATCACTTTTGTCAGAATACTATTGATACATTTAACATAATTAACTCAAACAAACTTATTTATAAATAAATGTCTGAATTATATGTCTATATTAAAATATTCAAAACACATTGGTTACAGAAAACAGCTGAATTTGTACTTTCATGCACAGAACTTTAAGGGCAGGTTTCCAGACCATTCATCACCTGACAAGGGCTGCGCTTTCCAGTAAAGATTTCACAATGAGCTGATATGAGATAAAAAACTCTTTCAATGAGTTCAATCTAATGGCCTTCGGAAAAACTTAATACAACCAGGAATCGAAGAGAGTAACTCCCACCTTATGACAAACTGAAATTAAATACTAGTCCGAGCTTTGAAAAGCACTTTCATAATAATTATTATTGTATTATTGAAAGCCCATTGTAACCAGCAGCTATAGATCTGTCAAATAAATGTCACAGCTCTCATTATAGGGATTGCAAAATTAGGTTCAGTGAAGCATTAAATTGTTTTTTAATGTTACAGAAAATCCTGTTGAAAATTCAAAGTTGCAATTTATATCCATCATATTTTTATCAATAAATATGGTTAAAGTCATCAGTGCCACAGAAGTTTAGTTATGTTACAGAAGTGTTATGTGGAGGCATAAGTACACTCACTAACAACAAGCATCATCAGCCAAAATCGAGGCCACAATCAGAAGCAAGTCAAGTTCAACAACCAACCCAACAACCAACGCCAACAAATGATGCCAAGGTTTTCAATCCTGATGACATTCACTCAATTCTTGCTTCCAAGAGAGCAAATAACAAAATCTAGAGTGAAATGGACGGATCCAGAAAGAGGAAACACATGGGAATATGGCAGCAGCATTCCAGACTCAATTGGGAGAATTTCTAATGCCAAGAAAAAACATGTCGAGGAAAAAGCGACGAAAACGGCCGCTGAAGAATCACAAATTTTTCAACCAAAGAGAATCAACACAAAACGATAAATCAGTCAATGTACTGTCAAAAAGTTTCAGACAGCAATCAATCATTACAGACCA